GGTCATGTTGGACAATTGTTAGGTAATTGCTATTCTAATGAATTTCATACCAAATTCCTGAATTTATTATATCTAACATGTTTGCAGTGGTATATATTTTTCTATTTTGTTCTCTATAAAAAGGGATAGTTTACAGGTTGTTCTTGTTTTTTTTTTTTTTTATTATTCTCCTGATTGCTCTGACCTGGGCATGTTGAATATGAGTTAAAAGTGTTTTTCTCCCAATCATAGATACAACGTCTTTCACGTTTCCCTGTTCACTGTAATTTCAACTGTGTGTTTGCCATTATTTCCATAAATGGGCTGAGGTTTTGTCATTCTATGGCTGTCATGATAGAATGCCAAATTCAATAAATGTTTTTGATGATTTAATTCCAAAAGAGAAACAACTCATTCTATTTTTATAGTGGAAGTAGTTTTTAAATATATTTTTATTATTATATATTAAGAACATGAGGAGTTTTCATTGTAATAATTCCATTTATATGCACAGCAGTTTCACCTTATGTATTACATTCTAATCCCCCTTCCTCTTCCTCCATTTGCAATCAGTGTTTAGTGGTTTTCTTTAATATTATATATATATGCACATACATACCTATGTAAATAATATATAATATGTATATGATATAAATCATATATATGTATATATATAAATTATCTGTCTCCAAAATGTGAATCAACTAAAAAGTAAAGTTTATTCTTTCTCTTACTCCTTTTTTGGTCTCTGCTCCTTTTCTTATGCCCCTGACTATCTGTTCCATGATATTTGAATAACTGAATAATATAGATGTTGTTAAATGTATTTTAAGCCCTAGTTGTCTATGATACAGACACAAACATGAGCTATCACTTCCTTTCTCTGTTCTGGACATTCGTGAATGTGCAGTTAGGAAAAGAGCTAGGTTGTTGGAGTCATGCTGACCATGGACAGTTTATATGAACCAAGGGAAATTCTATTCAATATTTAGCAGAAGTTGTTATTGTTTATGTCTTCCCCATGAATTAAGGTATTTTCTCTGAAGAATCAGAAATGAATGTTTTAGTTATTGTCTGAGTACAGCATTTTTGCTGATATAAGGACAAAAGTAATCTGTCCCACTACAGAAGTAGGAAAATTGTAACTTCAAGTCTCTGGACATATCAGTTGAATGGTATGGAGATTAGTCTTATATTTATTAATATCTAAGCTAGATTTCCCTCTTATTTTATACATTTACTCCATATTAATTACATAGGGGCCACCCATTATCTATTTACTCAGCAAATTGTCTTTTTAAGTAACAACTCAGATGACAACACTGAGTCTCTGAGAAACTAACAGCCTGATTTACATCTCAGAAATTATAAACAAGACTAATAGAGTCACACATAAATTATTACTCTCTGGGATGGGTTCATTACAATTTCTTACTATAATTCACCCATCTAAAAGAATTAAGCAGAGGTACAGAAATGTAAAGGTTAGTTATATCTGATGTACTTTCATAAACTGTGCTCATGAAATTAATTCCTGAGATTATTTCTCCTTCTGGGACTGATTGGCTGATTAAAATCGCAAAAGAGGATGTGAATATTCCCCAGAATTCTCTGGAGTAGGGGAAAGAGAGAAAACAATACTGAAATATCTGGTACCACTCAATTATCTCCTTTGTGGTCTACAATAAATTTCCCCTGGAAGGAAAGCAATGACTAGGAGGTGTTGCCTCCTGCAGCATCAGGGAAGTGAAATACCTTGATACACTGTGAAGAGGACAATCTGTCAGAATACTCTAGTTGGGATGCTTGTGTCTGTATTTAAGCAAACACATTTTAACTCTTTTAACCTTACAGCATTTACATAGAAATGCTGCTTTCCTTCATATTCTGGAAACTTAAGTGGAAAATTACTCTTGTGTAAAACTATATCAATGAAATGAAATGAAGCCCAAACTACATAGAAGACATAGCTCAGAACCTGATACCTGCTAATCCCTCAAATATAGTTCATGATGTCATGGTCTCTGCCACCTCTTCACCCTATCATCTCCTTCATATTTTTGCTGAATGCTTCCATAACTGTGTGATTAACCTTTTTGTAATTTCATGGGTGAGATGTTTACTGCAAATATAATAACTGTGGGAGGAAAACAAACCTTTTAATGACTCCTAAAAACAGCTCAGATTATAAATTTAATATTCAAAATAGCTGAAATTTTGTAGGGTAATGTATTTCCACATGCAGATTTAAATACATAATGTTTTTAACTTAGTTTCTTTACTCTTTCACATCACATTGGCTCCTTAGTCCATTTTTAGATTTTGATTTTGCATATTAGAAGAAACAGTTGATATATGAATGTCTAAGTGTACTGTATTTCACTTAACATGATGATCTACTGTTTCATCCACTTTTCTGAAAATTATGTATCTTCATTCTTATGATTATGAAATACTCCATTATGCATATATAACATATTTTACTTACCCACTAATCTGTTGAATGAGCACCTCAGCTGAAACTAAAATTTGCTGTGGTGAAAAGTCCAATGCTTATATGCATGTGTAGGTATTACAATTTTGTAGCTGGTTTATATGCCAGTAAGTATATACACAGAAATACTATAGCAAGATTGTATGGTAGTTATATACTTAGATTTTTCAGGAACATACACCTGATTTCCATAGTGGTTGCACTAATTTACATTGCCACCAACAATGTATAAAATTTCCTTTTTCTGGCATCCTTGCTAGCATGTGTTGTTTTCATGATGAGAGGCATTCTTTCTGGCCTGTCATTGAATCTGAATTTTGTTTTGATATATATTTACCAAACCATGGTTTTAAAAAAATCTTAAAATGAATAGACTTGTGCTTCTCAGGTTCATATCTGAATATGCTTTTCTGTGAAACTCTATGCACAATGGAGAGAAATTTAATGTGCATGTGAAGGTGTTGGTAATCCTGTTTTAACTAGGTGAAGAACCAGTACTGTTCAACATTATTTCATGGTATGTAGAAAATGACCCATTATTATCATCTTGTAATATTATTACTTTCAATTATACCCACTGCTTATATTAAAATATAAATGTTAAATAATATGCTTCCTGTTTGAGAAGCATATTACCTAGGAAATTTTAGCTCTGGTATCTCTGCAAGATTCTATTCTCTTGGACACCTGAAATCCAAAGAATAGTGTTATCAGGAACTTGGTTGTGAGATTTCTCTCTTAGTATTTAGGTCAAGATTGACTTATGCATCCATAAACAGTTTACATAAAAACTTAGCTAAATACCTAAAGCTAATTGAATATTATAAAATTAAATATGTTACCTTATGTACACATATTATTTTAAGTCTGTCTGTGGATTAGATTCATCAACATCAGATTTGTCTTCAAGGGACAGATATCTTTGTTTTTTTTTATTTTAATATTAGGAAAATTATTATTTCAAAATTCATATACTTCTCTCTAAACTACAAAAGTGCAAGTTTTGAGATATTATGTAGGTAGAGAATAGTCATTAGAGTTTCAACAGCTGATTCATGATTAATTTTATTATTAATAATCTACATTTTTCAAAAAGAAAATAATCATTGCCAAATAAACACTCTCGTGCTGATGATACTATTTCAAAAATATTCTTGCAATCAGTCAATTAAACAAAGTGTTTCTATAAAGAATCATCAAGAAATTTTATCCTGTGTTTGAATATTATTTCCATTTGGTTCTAGTAGAAGAGAAGTGTGCTACCATGGAAATCAGGAAATGAATCATCAAGTCCAGTACCAGTACATGCTCTTCTACAGAGTCTGTGTTCACTTCTGAAATTCTGTGCTCACAATGCTTAATTGAAAAATGAAGAACAACACCCTTCTCATGGATTTTGGTACACCTACAGGAAGTTTGGAAATTATTGATTATGCATTTTTTCAAGTAAAGAATTTTATTATGGAAATAGCATGTGTGTTGGTTAATACAAGTATAGATAGCACTGCAGTCTGTAATGTTTCAAAACCTTAAAATGTGTCTAGTCCAAATAAACAGCCTATGGTTACCTTCTGGATTTTCTACCTCTCTTTCTGCTTGTTTATCCAAAAATGTTTACTGTAACAGTTGGATAATTAAATGTTATATATGTTGCTAAATGGAGTTATAAGCTCAGGTGTGCATGACACAGATACAAAAGATGCCTTGTTCTAAACTTCTATGGGACATTATTTTATGGGATAGCAGGAAAACAACAAGTGTATGGAAGACACGGTGATTATGTCCCATTTGTTTGAACTGAGGAAGAACCCATTCAGTGTTTAACAAACAATTTCTTAATGTGTCCTTTGTTCCAAGCAAGGTATTGGTTGTTGGGAATTAGAAATAAAAAAGATTTAGGTATTTTTCTTAAAAAAGGCAACATATATTTATATAAAAGCAAAACTGATAGCTCTTACTATGTTTATATACACACATAAATATAACTTAATATCTATTGTAAACTAATAAATATCAATGATACTGCTGGCTGCACATGACCTCTGAACTCAGTAAATAGAGACAATATGTTGCTAGATGGTTCAAGCAATGTTAGTCTCAAAAAACTAACTCATATTAGGGGAGGAAGAAGAAGAAAAGAAAATGAATGTCTAAAATAGTTGGGTTTTCTTCTTACTCCAAAAAAACTAATGTGTATTATTTGCTTCTTTTGTATCTTTGGTCTAATGATTATTATGCTTATTATACAATACTTTATTATTGTGAAATAAACATAACAAAATGATTATGATTTTGACCATAGTAAACAGATCAATGTCATTAATTCCATACATGTTGTTGTGCAAACATCATCATCTCCAGAAATCTTTCACTTCCTCAAAGTGAAACTGCACACATTTGAAAAGAAATTGCCAGTTTTCCTTCTCTCAGCTCTGTCAATAAAACTATGAAACATGATGAGGAATTAAACACATCCAGCTGCATACTAATGTAACCAAGGAGGCAGGATTTATTAAAGTACAGATGTTTAATTTTTTTGCATTATCCAACTGATATTCACAATGGAAAATTTGGGCATGATTCTGTTGTATAGGATTCTCATGGCACTTTTAATGTCCTTGTTCCTCAGGCTGTAGATGAAAGGATTCAGCATAGGGGTGACCACTGTGTACATCACAGAAGCTATCACACTTTCCCTGGGGAATGATGACACATCTGAAAATAGGCACACTCCAAGGCCTGTTCCATAAAATAAGCAAACAACTAACAGGTGAGACCCACAGGTGGAGAAGGCTTTATACTTTCCACTTGTTGATGGTATTTTCAGAATGGAGGAAATTATTTCACAGTAAGAACAAAGAATTCCTGAGATGGGAAGAAACCCAAATATGGTGCCAGTGAAATACATGAGTAGGTTACTGGTAAATATATCAGAACAGACAAGACTAAGGAGTTGAGGGGGGTTACAAAAGAAATTTGAAATTTCAACATCTTTGAAATAGGGGAAATTTAAGATGATTAAATTGTGCAACTGGGTGTCCAGCAGGCTAAACAAGAAACATACTAAAACTAAGAAGGCACAACGCTGAGGGTTCATGATGATGGAGTATTTCAGGGGGTGACAGATGGCCACATACCGGTCATAGGCCATCACAGTCAGCAGCAGATCATCCATACATCCAAAAATGCCAAAGAAGGACATCTGTGTCACACAGCTCACATAGGAGATAACTTTTTTGTGAAGTTGAATATTCACAATCATGTGTGGGACAGTGGTAGAGATGAAGCAGATGTCAGCCAAGGACAGATTGGAGAGGAAAAAGTACATGGGGGTGTGGAGGTGGGAGACATAGCTGATGGCCAGGATGATGAGCAGATTCCCAAGCACTGTTAAGAGATAAATAAGAAGGAACAACACAAAAAAGATTTGCTGTAGGTCTGGATCCTCTGAGAGTACATTGAGATGAAATTCTGATACAGAGGTTAGATTTTGGAGCTTTGTATTGTCAGGACACCTTTTGAGATGAAAGAAAAAGTGTTGGAAAATCAAATAAGCATTCATTTAACACTTTATAAGTTTTTGATGCATTAAATCCCAAGTAAAGTATCCATACTAATGTTCATATAACTTGAGATATATTTCCCATTTCTGATAAAACCAGAATTTGCTAGAACTGCTTCTTTCTTCTTTTCTGTTTCTGCCTTCTCCTATGAACAACTGGTTTATTGATACTCAACAGATAAATTTAAAATCAAGACAAAGGTATCAACTCCCAGAACATCATAAAATGTATCCTACCCATTTAAAATAACATCAAGAATAATGTTTGTCCTTGAACTGTTAGAAAATTTTCTTTGTAAGTCAAGCAATTTTCAAATATTTTTTATTTTTATTCTTTGTTTGGAAAAATGAAGAACAAAAACAGTACAGGATGATGTTCTGAGTGAGGTTAGCCTGGCCCAAAAGACCAAAAATTGTATGTTCTCTCTCATATGCAGACATTAGATCAAGGGCAAACACAACAAGGGAATTGGATTTTGATCACATGATTAAGTGAGAGCACACAAGGGGTGTATGAGGATAGGTAAGACACCCAAAAAACTAGATAGCATTTGTTGCCCTCAATGCAGAGAAACTAATGCAAATACTTTAAAGTGACTGAGGCCAATAGGAGAAGGGGACCAGGAACTAGAGAAAAGGTTAGTTTGAGAAGAATTAACTTAGAAGGTAACACACATGTACAGGAAAGCAATGTGAGTCAACTCCCTGTATAGCAAAAACCTTTGGTCCTTCCTATTATTACTTATACTCTCTCTTCAATAAAATTAGAGATAATAGCAAAATAGTTTCTACCTGGTAGCTAGGGCTTAGAGGGGTAAGGGAAGGGGCAGGGGGTAAGGGGGGAGAAATGACCCAAACATTGTATGCACATATGAATAAAAAAAGTACAGGAGAAAATATAACCATGCTAGCACTTTCCACATCTTAACATTGGTATCCTAATGGCCTCCATTATAGATTTGTGGTAAGAAAATTTTAAATAGTTCTAAATTTCATACAGTGCCATTTTATCTCAGTCTCATTTATAAACATATTTGAATGTGGGTATTGTAAAATAGCCGGGTAACTAGCCTCAGACAAATACCAGATTTAGTCAGAGAACTTATATGTCCTGTTTTCTTTAATCAGTTGATAAAAAATACTTGAGAACCACTGCTTTTGAATGTTCAATAACACTGAGAAAATGGTTCATTAGTATAAGGTATTATTATTGACACCTTTGAATGATACAAATATGTAACCATTTAATAATAGCTAATCATTACTATGTAACTATTCTGAAGTCAATATTCACCAGTGAAATTTGTGTTGCTGGTATCACTACATGGATTCATTCTCTGTGCACATGTCCCCTGAAGACAAACTGTCATGAATTTGCTGGGTAGAATTTTCTCTCATAGTTATTTAAAGCCTACCTCACAGTACCTACGATCATATAAGTAACAAGCAACACAACACCTATTTCCACTGACAAGTACTAGTTACATTCACAACTTGTGTTGAGTGATTGAGAAAAATACACTGAACTCCAAATATTTTAACAAAATACACAACATACCTGAGTAACAGGTATCATTTAATTTGTCAATTTATTATGACATTCCTTTCCATATTCTTATGCCTCACTACATATCACAACATTTCCATATAATGGGATATAGTTGTTTGAATATAAGTATGTATTACATGTCCAATTTTACTAGTAATCACCTAAATATTTTGTTTCAAATAAGAAATCAATTACCAATTTTTCATTTGCCCTAAAGCTAAACTATCAAACTTATTTCTAAAATTATTTCTCATACTCCTCTAGGATAAGACAAAAAGATAATTTAATCATGCATAAAGAATATTAACATTTTGCTCCATTAAACAGACAGAACCCTAGTATGAAGTTCAGGAAATGAATATTTATGCCCATATCACTGCCATACCACTCTCTACAGAATTTGTGTGTCTTAACACCTCACTTTAATCAAGCTGCTTAATGGGCATGGGGAAAATCATGCTGATCTCCACCTATTTGTATCATCTAAAAGTTGTTTAAAATGTAGTCTCTCTCTCTCTCTCTCTCTCTCTCATCTATCATGTGCCTATCTATCATCTATTTACCTATCATCTATCTATCCATCTATCATCTATTAGTCCATCTAGGTATCATCTCTCTCTATATCTCTCTTATATTCATATATACATCTATCATCTATCTATTTTTATCTATTTGTCCACCTACCTGTCATTGATCTAGCATCTCTTCTACTTACTTATCTTTTAACCCGTTTAAATATCTATTGATATGTAAATATATAAATTATCATTTTATTGGGTGTTTTTGGTAGTACTGGTATTTGAACTCAGGGTTTTCACTTCCAAGTGTCCTAAAACTTGGGCCATGATGCAAACCTAGAGTGACTTTTCTTCTTAAAGATCAAAAGATATTTCTTAATTTGCTTTAGTTTATTGCTCAGATATGGTCTCTGACATTGGCCCCAACTAGTTTGGGACCACAATTCTTCTACCTCCACTTCCCGACCAGCTGGGATTCAGCTTTACACCACCATGATTTCCTTGTTTTTGTAGATAGGGTCATGCTAACATTTTCAGGGGCTTCTCTGTAACGACAGTGCTCCCATTTTCACCTGTCATTTCTCTGACAGTACTGGTGTGTGCCACTATTCACGAACATTATTTTTTTACAAAAAATCCATTGCCATAAAAATGCTGAATTTATAGATGAATGCAGTTTTCAATTTACACTGGATTATTGAATGATGTGAATTCTGAAATGTTTCTTCTCCCAAGTCATAATGCTTTTCTACACACTTTCTTTTCTTTTTGTATCTTTCCTCTTTTCCTGAACATGTCAATAAGAAATCAACTCAGTTGACAATAGTTTGCATCAGAAATACAAAGTGAACATCTGAGATATAATAGGTTCAAAACCAAATAGTCAGCTTCAGAGACTGATTTGCTAATGTAATTTTTTTCTTCAGTCAGGGTTCTTGCTATGTAAGGTACAATGCCTTTGAACTTGTGGTCAGCCCTAGAACTTGAACTTGTGAGCTTTCCCTATGGCTGGGACTACTTTTGTGCTTTGCCACACTCAGAAATACAATAATCTTTTTCATTATCACCAACTTACCAAACAATTGTAACCACACTGCAAGAGGTCTTAACTGTGGGAACACATGAGGTCCATTTTAAACACTTTCAAGTTTGTTGTGAAAACAAAGATAGATTTTATGTGTCTTTGTGAGAATCACTGGACAAGAATCACTGGAAAAGAAAAAGGAGGTGGGAATATCTGCAAATGTTTCAGAGAGATTTCTGTGTTAAGTTGCTGTGTGCCCATGTTTCCTGTCATATTTTTGTTATTCATAAATATCCATGCTGTATTGGATTATGTTGCAACAGCAAAAGCACTTCCCTGTGATCTACAAAGAATTCTAAAAGCAAGAGAATAATAAACAAGAACTCTTCACTGACTGTCACTTATTGAAATGACTGGTAGAGTTGTCAAGTGAAGAAGCAGTCAGGATACTCCAAAATGAAGACCTCTGTCCATGTTCAGCATGTTTCAAACACTGCTTTGCTTGTATTTCTTAACATCATAGTTAAAATTTCATAAATACATTGTACTCTTTAATTTCCTCCAAAACAATAAACCTCATGTATAAATGAAGTATCTACACTTCTTAAAATACAGAGCACAGATCATAGCATTTAGGAAGCCTTCAACAAGTCTTTACAATGTTAAATTCACTATTGTCCTCCTCCACATGTTTATCTTTGCCTTCATAATCTCCTTGTAAAATTTAGGACAGAGTTTGGAGGGAAGTATTTCCTGTTAACATGGGTGACATACCTATTGGAAGTAGAAACAATGTGCAAGGAAAGGTACGTTTGAGTAAGATTTCTTATTGCCTCATTAAACCAACAACATAAAGTTACAGTCCTCATGACTGCAATTTTGCCCACTGGTTCTCTTCCACAGGCTACCAAAACTGTCGTATTATTCCTCATGATTTGGAAGTAATGTTTCTGCTGAGCCTTCCTCTACCCACTGTCTCTCTCAGGACTTACTGGTTGTAGGGTTTCTCTGCTGTGCCATGACAAAAGAGTACATTCCAAAGCAACTCCCTGATAGATGACTAATGACTACTCCAGCATTTTCTCAGGACAGGTATTTGTAAAGGATTCAGCGAAGAGTTTCTTGGAGCAAAAACACACATGGAATCCATTGGACTGAAATCAACAAATGGCAAGTCTGGCAGTACAGTAATTATTGACTATTTATTGTATGACCTAGGAGGATCAATATACAGAGTTGATAATTAGCTAAATTAGTCCATATTTTCATGATCTTGAAGGACTTCCTAACATTGGAGAAGGAGGAAGATGAGATAATGAAGATGCTTCAGGTTAGCAGTCTCTTCCTCACTGTGGCAACATTCTCTAGTGTATTATCCAATTAAGTTTTGACTTATTTTAGTAAAAATCATCCATCTGAATTTTATTTACATCACTTATGGTAAAATATGTAGGAGAATAAAGTTACTGTTTTCACACCTTCAGTGTTCACTGTTTTCAGGTATAAGTAACATGTGCAGCATTGTTTAACCACCAACATAATCCATTCATGGAATTTTTATGTATTGATGCCCAATTTCAAAACTCCTCCTTCAGCATTCATTCAACTCTAGCAACTGCCACATAATAGGCAATATCATTAGAAGGTACTATACAAAAATATTGCAAACAAGGACGTGAAATTAACATGTGTAACTATTTCCCTTTATTGATTTTTCCTTGTTACATTCTAAAAGGATGTCATGGGTACTAAGAGTACAGTATTCTACTGAGAATCTTCCTTAGGACTCTATAAAGGTTTCTGAAGATCTTCAGGCTGTAGATAAAAGAATTTTTTACAGAAGTCACCACCATGTATATTACTCCTGGGGAAAGATTTCTTCAAAAAGTACACTGCAAAGCCTGTTCTT